TTAATTTAAAAAGGTAAAGGAGCTCTCCTCCCCTTTTCCTTCTGAAGTGGATGAAAAGCAAAATCCACCCTCCTCCCAAAAAAAAAAAAAAAAAACCCAAACATTCATGGTGTAGTTTTTATTGCTCTTAAAGGCTTGGTGTTCAGAAGCACAAGCTAAGTTGTGAGATCGGAAGGAATCAGGTGGAGGTTTGAACCCTGTACCCGGGCCTCCATCTCCACTCTAAGCTAGGAGCTTCCCAGCTCCGTCACGACTCAGTGCAGAATTTATACATTATATATTAATTTCAAAGGGAGGGAACGTCTATGGGAAATAACTATGAATTAAGCCATAAAAGATCTACATTTGCATTTTCCAGGTCACGCTTGTGCACGGTCGGACCCTTCAGCTTTTTTCCTTTAAGATTTCGTAGGTGTGAGTGAGTCAGTGAGTGACGTGGGTCTAGACACACACGGAGACAGAGGGGCAGCGTGCGGTGAGGAAGGTGCAGGGTCTCTGGGGGGCTCGCCCAGGGCGTGCATGTCCTACTCATGGCACAGCTGCCCGAGTGGGTGGGTGGGAGGGATGAGATTTCAGAGGGAGGGAAGCACATTTCTGAAGCGACAGCGTCTGCGAGCACGTCTGGTCTGGTTTCCTTGTCTGCCCCTTCGCCCCCATGAGGAGCTGCGCTCTGAGCAGGTATGCACAGGAGGTGTTCTGCGCACACACGCCCCGAGAGTGCGGCCCCAGAGACCTGGGGCCCGGCAGTGCCTCTGTCATGCAGAACGCTGCCGTCACCTCGAGTCTCCCCGGGACACTTCGGGCTGATGCCCAATTATGTTCTTGGTTTACTTTTCTTCATGTCTCTTTTCTCCGTTTTTTTTTCCCCCTAGAAAACTCAACCTACCTCTATGCAGAACGCTGGTTACAACGTATCAGTGATAACACCCGTGTTTGTTTTTTTCCCTTGCTAAAAAGATAAGGGGAGTTTGACTCAGAACAAGCAAGCTGAAAGCCAAATGCAGGTGGGCTGATGGTTCCACAATCGAGGTGAGCTTTCCTCCCACTGCACCACTCCAGGGGCTCCGCCCGGCCACACCGGGCACTGGACACACTGGAGGGAGAAGCATCCCTCACTGGGCGTGGGCCAGGGGCTTGCTGAGAGGCGGAGGGAGCCAGCATGACCGGCCGAGCGCTGCCCTCTGCTCTGCCTGGTCGCTCAGAGACATCCCGGAGGCCAGGAGCTGGGTGCTCAAGGGTGCCCGGGCCAGTGATACCTGCCTGGTGGGGGCAGGCCCTTCCCAAGGACGCAGTGCGAGGCTGGGGATGGGGGATGCCCCACCTCTAGTTTCCAGCAGGAAGTTGAAAACCACCAAGAGATCAACCAGTAAAAATAGAATCTCTAGAAGCAAATGAGCTCAGTGTTCACAGTCTCCAACTACCTTTAAAACACAGAGGGCTGACAGGGCCCTCACTGCTTCCCAAGCATCCAGAGTTCCACAGGCTGCTCGGCCCTCCCTCCTTGGCTCCTGATCTGTGGGGTGGGGGCCGCACGGTAGCCCCGAGGGTCCTCCCTCCCCAGCACCCAGTGTGGAGGGACCAGGGTTTGACAGCCATGGGAGGGACGGAGGAGCTTCTGGTTTGGGAGAACTCTGCATTTCACTGAGTTCTCGGGGGTCCGTCCACTTTAAAAACAGATGTAGGTATTTACACACAGGGTCAAACAGGAGCGAGGGCAGACAGCACTCTAGAAAGGAAAGTGGGGCGTTCGCCTCAGCCAGCCCCCGACAGGGCACGGTGAGGGCTCCGGCTTCGAGAAATCCACCTGATGTTCATGCCGATGTGCTTATCACTATGGGCACTCTCCCAAGGGGCCCCCACTGGGAGCCAAGGTGCTGAGCCAAGCGGGGCAGCCACACGAGTCCCCGGGGGACAGGACCCGGCCGTCCACTCCCAAAAGGACAGCAGAAATTCATTATGAGACAGCTTCTGGGGTGGTGCAGAAGAGGTGAAGGGCCAGGTTAAGTTCCCAAAATAACTGATTAAAAAACAAAAAATTTGATCTAAGTTTAAGGAGAGAAAGCAGCCAAAGTCTCCCTCTCAGAAGCGGAGTTCTGGAGAGACGGCGTCCACGGAAGGCCCCTCCGCCTGGGAACCACCTCCCACGACACGCTCGGAGAGGCTGGGACCCCGAGCTGCGGGAAGCTGAACTCTTCCTCTGGCAGGCCTTCTGGATTCTTTACTATTGGCTCAAGTTTTGTTAATATTAGTCACCAGTTAATAAGAAAAATAGTTTCTAATTGTCTTTTTCCCTCCACTCGGCGTGCTGCTGTTTTTAATCGAGTTAACTGGATACCGCCATCAGATCATGTGTGTTCAATCACAGCCATTAATTATTCCTTTTTCTTAAACTCTTGGTTTCCGTAGCTGGAGCCTTTCTCTATCTCAGTCACTCCTATCAGTCTGCGAACTCCAAAGGAAGCTTTCAAGACAGGAGAGAGAGAAAAGACGTGAGACGGACGACTTTGCCTTTTTGCTGTAAACTGTGTTACGGGGCTCCCTTCCTCTGCCCCAGACCCTCTCCCTGTGCCCCACACCCAGGAGCCTCTGTTTGCAGTGAGTAGGTGTGGTCTGCGGGCAGACAGCCCTACAGGCCACGGACTCTTCAGGGAGGGCTGCGGACCACATCTTCTGACAGGTCAGAGGCAGGTGGACACATGGACCTCGCCCTGCCTGCCCCTCTGGGTCTTTGGCTGGTGGGAGCAGAAGGGCTTCAGGGCGTTCTAACAGCTAGGCCTCGCAAACCTAACAGATGACCGAGGTGGACAGGCAGGACACTCAGATGTAACCAGGTCACATCCTGTGTTCCGTGGGTGGCCTCAGGTCACCATGTGGTCCAACGCGAGAGGCTGGTGGCAGTCTCTGCCTCTCAGGTCCCTCCCCCAAGGCCCCTGGCAGGGGCCGCAGGAGCAAGGGAGGAGCCGACCCGACTGCTGGGCCTGGGGAGGGGGCTCACGGGGCGATGCACGGACTGTGTCTCCATGTACAGAGACCCCTTGATTACAGGGAGTGGGGGGGTGCCCGAGTTCACCACAAGGACAGACCAGTGTTTGCTCAGCCGAAGGCTGGCTGAGGAGTGGGGCCGGCATTGTGCTTGGGGTGGGCACACAGTGGGGACGCCAATGGAGTCAGTGGGGGGAGCTGAATGTTGATGTTCTGGTTAAATCTCCCAAACAGCCATCCCAGCCTGACCCCTTAAGAGCCCCAAAGCAGACAGGGGAACTGGGGACCCTCTCATCGGCATCCTCCCAGGTGCCAGCTAGTGGGCTGCAGTGGGTATGGCACAGGGGTGGTGGCCATTCGGCTCTCGGAGATGACCCTCAGCTCAGCGCAAGAGTCCAGGCTCTGAGGCCCACAGGCTGCAGGGGGGATCCTGGCTCCCCTGCCTCCCAGGGCCACTGTGAAGAACCGCCGGGTGTCGGGCCCTGTGGCTGGCACTGGAGGCCCCTCAGAGTGTGAGGCGTTAGCGACTGTGTCCATTACCTGCTCCCACAAACCCCAAGAACGTCAGGATCAGGAGGGGTGATCCGCTGGCAAAGACGCCCAAGACAAAACTGAAGAGGGGAGACAGGAGAATGGTGGCCCAGGAGAGGAAGTTGAGGAGGGTCCAGGGCCTCCGGGCAGGCTTAAACTGCTCCCCTGGAAACACACCCTTCTGATTATACATCTCCTGGAGTGCGTCCTGGAAGAGGCAACAGATGAAAAGGAAGTGCGAGGCTTCTTTACAAGCTCTTATTTCAATGCAGGAGAAAATTGCTGGCAATGAGAAACGACTCGACTTTAAAAAAGTACAACATCAAGTAAGAGGACAAGTCACGGAAGTGGCAGGTGGGGGCAAAGCTGGCCACGGAAGCTGCAGGTGGGGGCAAAGCTGGCTTTACCTTTTTGGAGTGTTTGACAGCATGCAGCAGAAGCCCGCAAGCATATCGACCCTTTGACTGAGGACGTCTCCCAGGAAAATAATCAGTCAAGAAAGCAACGTTGTGAATACCAACATCTGCCCGCCCAGCACAGCCCAGGCTGCCGCCACATCCCACACCTCCCACGAGCCAGAGGCGGCGGGGGTGGCAGGCGTGGCCTGCGTTGAGTCCCGAGGCCTGGACGCAAATCCCTGCGTCGTGCGCTCTCAGCTGCACAGCCATGGAAACGTCCTTAACCTGGCACACCTGGGTTTCCTGGCCTGGTGGAGGCCAATGAGGAGCTTGGAGGAGGAGCCTGGCTAAGGCCATGTGCAGAAGGTTCTGCCCTGGTGGGAAGGTCAAGGGCGCCGCCGGCTGGCAGGAAATCACCGCACCTGATAGAGCTGAATGCTCGGCAGCCAGCACCCATGGGCAGGCAGTCTGCGGGGCTCTAGGATGCTTGGGAAGGCGTGAGGGCACCATCGACCCTCTCTTTGAAAGCTGGTTGCAGATTGTCAACACTGAGCTCACTGGCTTTTAGAGATTTCATTTTTACTAGTTGATCTCTTCATGGTTCTCGGCTTCCTGCTGGAAACTGGAGTTGGGGTGCTGCCCGCCAGCCACGCACTGTGTCCTTGTGGAGGCCGGTGTCATCGTGGCCCGGCCACCCCTGGACACCCATATCCCTGCCTCTGGAACGTCTCCAGGCACACACATTTTGGCTGCGCGCTTCTTGAACTATGTTGTTTGTATGACATAGATTCAAACCTCGAGCCTGTGGCAGGGCAGGTCTCTCATTATGAATTACCAGGGAAGACTTTTTTGAACCCAAGAGGAAAAAGGCAAGTCTCAAGGTCATTTCTCCATGCTGGGAGGTAGTTTTATTTTCCAGTTTAACCTTTCTGAAGGTCAGATTCTTAGAGGGTCCGAGCATCACGTGGGGTTTTTGGTTCTAACTTGCCGCCTTGGATGAGGGGAAATCCTAATCTTCAGTTTCCACATAAGCATTAAAGCTCACAACTTCAGGGGAGGGGCAGGCAGATGCCAGCAGCCGAGCACGGCCATGCTGGCTCCCAGGCCCATCGCCTTCGTTCCAGCCCTGCCTCCCTTTTTAGTCCCAGATTTCCCTTATTTTCTTGAGAGCCCATCAATGCATTTACAATGATATTTTTTACATCCTGGGAGGACTTCCTGGCTCTCTACCCTCCCACAATGCTGACAGTAGAAGTCTAATGCCCCACGCATTTGTGTGCACAAAATAAAGGGAAAGTAGGTGTGGGGAGGAGCAAGCCACGGGGAATGGAATAGGAAGGACGGAGTGTGGTTTTCAACATCATCTCCTAACATTGCCTACTTTGTTTCTGTTACATAAGTAGTCTAGTGACTATCTGTGTCTGTTACATACCTGTCACTTCTTTTTCATAAGAAAATGAAACATGTGACCAAATGTTACCAGCCATAGTTATATAGGCATCACGTTATTACCCTTCATACTTGTCTGTAGCTTGTCAATTTCTCAAACATTAAGAACAAGGGCCCAGGAGCAGCGGCTCACGCCTGTAATCCCAGCACTTTGGGAGGCTGAGGTGAGCGGATCATGAGGTCAAGAGATCGAGACCATCCTGGCCAACACGGTGAAACCCCATTTCTACTAAAAATACAAAAATTAGCTGGGTGTGGTAGTGCATGCCTGTAATCCCAGCTACTGTGGAGGCTGAGGCAGGAGAATCTCTTGAACCTGGGAGGTGGAGGTTGTAGTGAGTTGAGGTCGTGCCACTGCACTCCAGCCTGGGTGATAGAGTGAGACTCCGTCTCCAGAAACAACAACAACAACAACAACAACAAAAAAAAACAAACCAGCTGGTGACCTCATTTCTACAAAAAGAAATTTTTTTGTTTCGAATCTTTAGCTGAACATGGTGGCTCACGCCTGTAGTCCCAGCTACCTAGGAGGCTGAGGCAGGAGGATCTCTTGAGCCCAGGAGGTCAAGGCAGCAGTGAGCCAGGATTGCACCACTGCACTCCAGCCTGGGCGACAAAGCAAGACGCTGTCTCAGAAAAAAACAAACAAAAACAGAAAGAAGAAGCGAAAAAAGGATCAGGAGCATTTGGGACCTGCGTGGCACTCCTGTCTCCCACGGAGGACCCACGTGTCACCTGCCTGCTTGCCAGCGCCCCTTCCACAGCCTCTGTGGGAGACTAGAACCCTGAGGGGGAGCAGAGCCTGATTACCTTCTCCTGGTACAGTTTATGAAGCCACTGAGCCGCCTCCTTTTCGTCCAGCGGGATCTCTTCCAGAGGAAATCTCCTGTGTTATGAAGAAGAGTCAAGGCGGGTGAATCATCACATGACCTCACACCCAGAAGGGAAACACGGTGTGCTCAGATGACCTGTGGGCCCGCCCTTTCTATGATGCCTTACTCTCAACTCTTAAACACAAACAGAAAATGGACTTCTCCTAAGGCACTGGACCGAGAACACAGTCAGCCTGGCATGGCGGCGAGGGGCCACGAGGTGCCCTTCTGTGCAGGGATGGCTGCAGCATGAACCCAGCATGCCCACAAGTGAGTTAAGTGGGCAGGCCATGCCTCCGGCCCCATGACAAGGGCGGTCATTAGTGAGCTGCTGAGAGTTCTGATCTTTCTTTAACATGTTCTTTTTTTTTTTTTTTTT